CTGTTCTGATTGGTTTCAAAAGCTAAAGTGGCCTAGTGAACCAGACATAGGGAATGTGACTATTAGAATGTATCTGAATACAGGTCCATTGATCAAATCATTGTCCCCAGAGCTCTCCTTTTGTTGTGGTTGTGTCTTGAAACTTTAGCTCGCCTTTGCTTACTTAGCAGTGACTATCTTCTCCTAACACCCACAGGTCAGAATCTGAACAGACAAGAACAGTGAAGAATAAGTCTAATTTAAATTAGTGTGATGGCAAGGGCCTGAATTTTGGCCTCAGAAGTGTTGCCTTTGAGTCTCTGCCTCTCTGCTTGGTTTTTTCATTGGAAGGACATCACCATCCCTTGAGCCTCAGTTCTTCCTCTCTGAGCTGGGAACAATAGCTCTCCTACCTATTTCACCAGGTCATTGAGAAAGGCATATGTGATAATGTATTTGAACATATTTTGTGAATTGTAACATAGTGACTAAATGTAAGAGATGATCATCATTGCTGACAAGTTATTCATCCGCTTTAATTTCCTCAGCTGCAAGGTGGGAAAAACATAGCACCACCTCCCTCCTCCTCTCGTCAGAACGCTGCTACAAACATCTGCAATAAAGATGTGGTTCGGGGCGCCTGGGTGGCTCAGTCGGTTAGGCGTCTGCCCTTGGTTCGGGTCATGATCTCAGGGTCCTGGGATTGAGCCCCTGTCAGGCTCCCTGCTCAGCGGGGAGTCTGCTTCTCCCTCTCCTCCCTGCTTGTGCTCTCTCTCCCTATCTCTGTCTTTCTCCCAAATAAATAAATACAAAATCTTAAAAAAAAAAAAAGATGTGGTTCATATATACAATGGACTATTACTCAGCCATCAGAAAGGATGAATACCCACCATTTGCACTGACATGGATGGAACTGGAGGGGATTATGTTAAGTGAAATAGGTCAAGCAGAGAAAGACAATTATCATATGGGTTCACTCATATGTGGACGGAGGACATTAGGGGAAGGAAGGGAGAACTGAAGGGGGAGAAATCAGAGGGCGAGACGAACCATGAGAGACTATGGACTCTGGGAAACAATCTGAGGGTTTCAGAGGGGAGGGGGGGTGGGAGGATAGAGTAAGCCTGGTGATGGGTACTAAGGAGGGCATGTGTTGTAATGAGTGCTTGGTGTTATACACAAATAAATCATAGAACACTACATCAAAAACTAATGATGTACTGTATGCTGGCTAACTGAACATAATAAAAAAAAATCTAAAGTCAGTCAGATTGGGGTGGTGGGAGGAGAGGCCAGGGTGAAATGTGTTCAGTAAAATACAGGGTGTCTTTTCAACAAATGTATATTGAGTGGCTACTATGTCTAGGCACTAAGCTGGATGCTGAGCATACTACAATCAAGAAATGGTCCTTACTCTCAAGGATGTTATTGTCTAGTGGAATGTTATGACATGTAAGGAGTCTATTTCAATATAGTTTATTAAGAGGTAAGATTAGAGAGAGCAACTAAGGTGGGCTCAGTTCTCATGGGTGCCAATGTAGCATGGTGGTGAAGAGCTCAGAGTCTGCACCCAACTGTTTGGGTCTGAATCCTGCTTCTACCACTTATTGCTCTCTGACCTTGGAAAAGCTATTAAGATCCTGTGCATCAGTTTTCTCATTGGTAAAAGGAGAATACTAACTAATCTCAGAGAATTGTGCAAGAGCTACATGGGTCAATGCATGCAAAGCATTTAGCACAATGTCTGGAACACAGAATAAACACTCAAAAGTGTGAAGTATTATTATTATTTTTTAAAGATTTTATTTATTTATTTGAGAGAGAGTGGGAGGAGGAGCATGGGGAGAGGGACAAGCAGACTCTGTGCTGAGCTCGGAGTGTGACATGGGGCTCCATCCTAGGACCCTGAGATCATGACCTGAGCTGAAATCAAGAGTTGGTCGCTTAACTGACAGAGCACCCAGGCATCCCAGAACTATTATTATTATTACATAGTGCTGTGGAGCCTATATAATGTGGAGCCCATGAGGTGTGGAATCAGGAGAGGCGTCCTAGAGGCAGTGACATCTCAGAGGAGATCTGAAGGATGATAGGAATTAGCAGGTCAAGGGGCAAGGTATTGCGAGTGAGGTAGATGTATACCAGGCAGAAAGAACAACCAGATTCTTTAAAACACTGCTTTTTCAAACTTTCATGTGCAGAAAAATCATCTAGGAATCTTGTTCAAGTGCAGACTCTGATTCAGTTACTCTGGAGTGAAACATTTCTAACAAAGTTCCCAGGGAATGCTAATGATGCTGGTCTCTGTTCTACGCTTCCACTTGGTAGCAAGGTTCTAACTGGGTGCAAAATCTCAAAAGGAAACTGTAAGCTATTTAGGGAGAGTTAGTGTGCAAACTGCTGGAAATGGTTGGGAGCTGTGGTGCCAGGTAGAGAGAGAGAGCAGAAGAGGTAACTGTGATACTGATCCCCACCTAAGGAGCTAGATCCTAAAGGGACTTACAAGAAAAGAAAAACAAAATTTAGAACAGTATAAAGGGCTTTAGCTGCCAATGGAAAAAAGAGTCTGGAGGGAAACCCCACTGGAAGAAATGAGACCAACTGAGAGGCTTTCCCCCTTAAGTACAGTGAGAGATGGTGGTGGCCTGAACTATGGCAATGGCCTTGGGGATGGGGAGAAGTGGGGGATTCAAGAACTATCAGAAGATCAGATCAACAACTTGGTGATTGATTTGATTGGAGGGTGAAGGATGGAGAACACAAGGAAGATAGGCACGAGGTTATTAAGTTCGATACAGCCGCTAACAGTCAAGCACATGGAGAACAACTGCTCACCAGTGGCACATATGGGCAATGTCTTCTCCATCTTAGATGCTCTTGCTACTTTTGGCAATTGTTGACCTGCTTTCTTCAGACTACCTTCAAACTCTCAATTTCTACCAACTTCTAGTAGAGAAACACAGAGCCAGGAAAGTAAATCTGTACTTCAAAAGTTAGCACTTACTCTCTTATTTTTTGTTCATTTGTTGTGTAGAGTGTGTTGGCCTTCCCAAAGTAGCTATTATTTTTTGAGGGCAAGGGCTGTGTCAGATCTATTGTTTCTCTTCCCCGGAGTGCTGATGACCAAGTAGGCACGTAATACATGCTAGGTGACTATTTGATAGAATAAGATGATTACACATTAATGTCATTTATTATCTCATAAAATGATTAAAATAATAATGCCTGTAAGGTGTTGAGTGTTTTACTTTCATTATAAATGCCATCATTGGGGCACCTGGGTAGCTCAGTCGGTTGGGTGGGCAGCTCGTGACTTTGGCTCAGGTCATGATCTTGGGGGTCCTGGGACGGACTCTTGGGCCTCATGTTGGGCCCCACGCTCAGTGGGGAGTCTACTTGAGGATTCTTTCTCTTCCCCTCCCTCCCGTTTGCGCTCTCTAAAATAAATAAATACATCTTTCAAAAGAAATAAATGCCATCATCTTCTTTTATTTATCTGAATCATCTGAGACCCTCGCATCCAGGCAGTTTGGATAATAAACTTGTTTGACTTGGGGCACCTGGGTGGCTCAGTTGGTTAAGCGACTGCCTTTGGCTCAGGTCATGATCCTGGAGTCCCTGGATCGAGTCCCACATCAGGCTCCCTGCTCGGTGTGGGGTGTCTGCTTCTCCCTCTGACCCTCCCCGCTCTCATGCTCTCTCTCTCTCATTCTCTCTCTCTAATAAATAAATAAAAATCTTAAGGAAAAAAAACTTGTTTGACTACAGCCTCATTGAATTAATAGAATGGAAGCCTACCCTATTACCGTCGAGCTCTACTGCCATCTACTGTTCATGTACTTACTAAATTCACATGATCTGCATCCCCTCTATTCTTTGCTACTGAATATTTGTTTTCTGCAGATCTCAGGGGCTTCATTTGCTTTGAGCTTAAACCCAGAGTAGATGCAATTTTCTAATAGTTTCCAGTGTTTCCTTATAGCAATTCAGCATGATACTGACAATTTTCTCTTGTGGGCAGAAAGTTTATGTCTTTATGGAATATTAAACATTTTTAAATGTAATGACACAATGGTTTTTTCATAGGCTTTTTTGTTTGTTTGTTTTCAGTTAAACTAAAAGAAAAGGTCACGGAATTTTTGGAGAATTTTCCCCTACCTCTAGTAGACATCATTAAATTAAGACAAGACATATTGGCTACATTCCTTTCAGGGTGTAAATCTTACTCATCCTTCAAGGTCATTGTTTCAAATGATACCTTCTCCACAAAACTTTCCCTGATTCTTTATTCTGGAAGTAAATTCTCAATTGGTAATTGTTATAATGAGCCACAAAGTGGAAGGACAACAAAAATCCCAGTTTAAAAAATAGCTTTATAAACCAATTCCCTCATTCTCCTTTTTCTGTTGGTTCCTTTTTTCTTTTGCGGACAAATAAAGCTGGCCTCTCAGCTGTAACAATCTTATAAAGTGTTTCTGTTTTAATAAGGGAAGATTTTAGGAAGGGCAAGGGCACACGCAAGGACACAGTTGGTGGTTGATCTGGTGAGAGTTTAGGCGATTAACTTTGTCTTTGATTGCTGTGAGACTGTAGCTTACTAGCTGTCCTTAGATACTAGATGGTGGGGATTTCAAAGGTTAATGGACTGACAGCAGACCAGGACTCAAACCCTTGCATATTTCCCCTCTAATTCTCTATTTTATAATGAAAATAGTTTGGGGGAGGGCACTAAGCAAAGAGAACTTATTTAAGTAAATTTCCGGCATAATTTAGGTATCTGGGAGTAGTTCGGTGGCACTGTATCTAATGGGGAGGCTGTGTGGTGGTGTCAATGCCCCAGTACCTTGATTTCATAGATCTAGACTAAAGTCCAGTCTCTGCTACAGATTAACTGTTTTAGCAAGTCACTTGAGCTTCCTCACTGGATAGGATTAATCTTTTCCTCTTCTGTGCATTGTATGTTATTTCTACCAAGGTCCCTCTCATAGGTGTTTGCATGCTTTTCCTTTTCCTTGCTCAAGGTCACAGAACCTTGGCGCGGCGCTCTCTGGGAGTCAGCAGCGCCCGGCGCTGGGTTTCTCCTTACACCTGTAGGATTCTCCTCGGTCACAATCACTCATTCGATCCCACACTTGTCATCTCACGGCGAATGGACGAAAATCATCACAATTATCCACGCTATGAAGAGCCCTTGGAGGAGGGATTACTACTCAAGTGCAGGGAGGCAGACAAGGACCTCTTCTCGTCGTTCCATCTTCCCCGGCCTTTTCTGATACGGAATATTTGGAGGAATGGGAGGTACGGCGGTGGACATGAACGTAAAGAGCCTTTTCCTGGTAGGAACACAAATCTTGTAGGTCTGTGTTTCCGGAAGCACCCTCTTGGGGAGGGGACTGACTTCCGGCTCTGACTTCCCTGTCTTCCGAGTTTCGAGCTCCACCGCTTCCGCCCACAGTTACCCTGGGCTCCGGCTCCCAGCAGCTACTTCCGCCAGGAGTCCCTAGCAGCTCGGTGCTGGAAACTGGCCCCAAAGCGGCCTCCTCTTTCTCCCTTCAGGCTGCCCAGCAGAGGCCGGGTCCCCAGGTGGCGGCGGCGGCTGCTGGGCCTGTCGCGGAGCGTTCTCTTCGCCCGAGACCTGGGCCTGGGGGCACCGGGAGTGCGAGAGGGACGCCCGGGCCTGGCCCAGCCCCAGCCCTGGCTTCCCGCGGCCAGTGATTGTGACCGCAGGCCTCGCCGCGCCCGCCCGAGCCTGGGGCGGGGCCCGGCCTCCCCGCCCCTGCCCCGCCCCTCCGGTCGGCCGGGAGCCGGGTCATTCTCCTCCCCAGCCCTGCGGCGGCGTGACCGCCTCGGACCTCCGGGCCTCCGCAGTCCCGTGGCTCCGGCCGCGGGGGAACATGGAGTTTGCGGAGCTGATTAAGACCCCACGGGTGGACAATGTGGTGCTGCACCGGCCTTTCTATCCCGCCGTCGAAGGGACCTTGTGTCTGACTGGTCACCACCTGATCCTGTCCTCCCGGCAGGACAACACGGAGGAGCTGTGGCTCCTCCATTCAAACATCGACGCCATCGACAAGCGGTGAGTGCCTATTCTGCCCGCTTTAGTAGGGAACCTGGTGGACGTCTGCGGCCACGCGCCCCAGTGTTTTCCTTGCGCCCCATCGCCTAACCCGCCAGCAAAATGAGCGTTCCCCGGCCTAGATTGAGGATATGAATTTTAGAAAGCAGAAAACCATCCCAATGAGGTGCCTGATTTCCATTACATCTGAATGGAATTCCCAGGGTTATCATATGGTTGTTGTTATCAGCTTGATGATCACTTTTGGTACATAACATCATTTGGGTGGATTTTTAACCTTTTTTAAAAAATATTCTTTCAGCATCATATTCCTTGGATTATTAACTGTTCGCCACAGTTCCATAAAGTGGTTGAATGTGATCTAGGTAAAGTCTTTACTTGCCTCTTTTGAGGAAAACTCAAAGAACTTAGTATGTAGTGTCTAAATTCCACAAAACTTTTTTTTCTTTCCTTCAAAAATGGTTAGTTTATCATATTTCTCACCTTCCTTGTCATCAATTGAATACTTCCTACTATGGGAGATTATAATATCTTTTATTTATCCTTACTAAGTTCTGCTTTTGGAAAAAAAAAAAAACAAAAACAGAATTGGCTCTTAAGTAAGGGTATTAATTAGATAATCTCTTTTTTTGTTTGTTTGTTTGCACCCCAGACTCTGTCTTTCCAATGGGGTGGTGTCTCAGAGTCAAAAAGTTATACTTATGTCTGCAGTCAAAATTCTTATTTTCCCAATGGCTCTGTGTACTTAACTCTAGCTAGGAGAAGGTGAATTGATTATCCAGTTTACATTAAAGTATAAATGAATGACAACAGCTTTTTTTATTATCTCTCAGGAGAATTTGGATATTAAGTAGATTCCTAGAGAGGTTATGCCTTAAAAGATGGTAATTTCCAGTGATAGAATTGAAAACGGTATGGACGAATTGTTGATAGATTTATTTATTTTTTCAAGCAGAGGACTCCTACTAGACTCCTCGGATCACCTTCTCCCGTGTAAAAGTTTTCAGTGGTCTCTCCTGGCCTGCAGAATATAAACCTTCTACTCTGTCATTTGTGGTACTCCCATGTCTGGCCCTAACTTACTTTTCCCACCTTAGTTCTTGCCATTCCCTTTCATGAACCCTTTTTTTTTTTTTAAGATTTTATTTATTTATTTGAAAGAGAGCACAAGTGGGGTGGGGGGGCAAAGGGAGAGGCAGGCTCCCTGCTGAGCAAGGAGGCTGATGCTGGGCTCCTTCCCAGGACCCTGGGATCATGACCTGAGCCCAAGGCAGATGCTTAACTGACTGAGCCCCCCAGGCGCCCCCCATGAACCCTTTCTATTAGCCAGTCCTCACTCTTTTATTTTTGCTCACTATGTCCTGCATTCTCATGTCTGTATCTTACTGATGCTCTTCCTTCTGCCTGGAATGCCTTGTTCCTCCCAAGTTTGTTAAAGATTTATTTAATATCGTTATTTTCTCGGCATTTTGTGAGGCATGAAGAACACCAAGATGAATAAAATATAGTTCTTATCTTTCAGGAGTTCATAGTCTATCATCCAATCACTACTCATTTATCAATATGTAGTATAACCATTTTAACTGCCCCCTCTTTTGTAGTTTCTTCTGTTAATTTCCGCAACTAGAAGTAATTCTCCTCACCTTGAAATCCTATAACTCTTTAATTATGCCTTTTTAATAAGTATGTATTAAAATTTGAATTTTGATATTTACACATATGTTAGATCCTTGAAGCCAGGTTAATTTTTATCTCTTTCAAAACTCCTCTAACTTGGGCAGATAGGCACATAGGGAGTATAAGAAGCATTGACTCCCAAATGATCAGTGATGCCACAGAATACAAATTACAGTTTCTCCTTACCACCAGCTCCCTTTTCTTTTTTTCTTATTTTATGGTTGCTTTTCACGCTTTCATTTCATATTTACCCAGCATTTACTACATGCTAGGCCTGGTAGAGCTTAAAAAATATATATAAGACGTGACCTTTTAATCTGTTAGGGGAGAAATGACAAACTGTATATACATTTATCTTTTTCCCAGAAGCAGCATGATGTGATGGAAAGAGCATGAGCTAGGTGGTCAGATTAGAGTTTAATTATTGCTCTCAAGAAATACTTCCATGTGTCTTCTGTGTGCTGGGCACCGTCTGGGCTCTGCAGGTACAGTGGTGACTAAGAGGGTTGAAGAGCTTGTGTAGTAGTGGAGGAGATAGACGTTCAAATAAGTTGGAAAATAAGTAAATAACAGTGTCAGGTAATAAGTGCCAGGAGGGAAAATAGAGGAAGATGGGAGGATAGAGAATGCCAGGAGCCAGTGTTCTTTGAAGGAATTTCAGAAAAGACAAGTGACATTTAAATGAATGACATCCGGGACGCCTGGGTGGCTGAGTCGGTTAAGTGTCTGCCTTCGGCTCAGGTCATGATCCCAGAGTCCTGGGATAGAGCCCCTGCTCGGCGGGGAGCCTGCTTCTCCCTCTGCCTGCCACTCCCCCTGCTTGTGCTCTCTCTTGTTCACTCTCTCTGTCAAATAAATAAACACTTTAAAAATAAATGAATGAATGACATCTGAAGGAAAAGAGGGAGCTAGCAATGTGAATATCAGAAGAAAGAGCATTCCAGCCAGAGGGAACAGCCAATGCAAAGACAGGAACTGGCCTGGCATGTACTGGGAAGAACAAAGAGGCCAGTGTGGCTGGAGGGCAGTGAGCAAGGGTAGACGCTAGGGATGTAGCAGAAAGTAGTCGGAGGGATAAGCAGGGGGCAGGTGGTGTAGGGCTTTATTTGCCATTGTGATGGTTTTCAAAGGAAGCCCTTTGGAGAGTTGAAAGCAAGGAAGTAAGAGCCGATAGACTTTTTAGAAGCTGGTTCTGGCCACTGGCAGAAGACGGATTGCCGAGGGGCACCAGATGGAAACAGCAGGCCCCGTTAGGAGACTGTTGAGTAGTTCAGGGAGAAGGCGACGGTGACTTAAGAGTGGAAACGGTAGAAGTGAGCTCAGAAGCGGTCAGGTTTGGGATGTATTTTGAAGGCTGAGCTGCCATGCCTTGTTAGTGAATCGTAAATGGGATGTGAGAGGAAGCACAGTATTGAGGATGACTCCTTTAGTGCTACCTCTTCCTGCACAGGTGTCCTTGGGCAAGCCACTTAACCTCTCTGAACCTCTCAGTTCTATCACGTAGAGGATGACAACCCTTCTCATATCTAGTCGTAACTTCTATTTGAGTGATGCTTTACAAGCTCATCGAATGCTGTTATGTGCACTGCATATACAATTTTATTAGATCTTTCAGCACACAAGGTTTTACGTAAGTTTTACAGTTACACATTTTTCTTTTCATGGACCCCAGATGTAGAAAGTTGAGTTGATCCTACTCAGTTGAGAACTGGTCATTTTCATGATTGATTCATTGCAAGGTTTTCTTGTTTTTTTACATTTTATTCTTCTTCAAGCCCTAATTTTCACCCCTATTTTCCACCTTATCCTCAATCCCTGCAGGCAAGTATGTTAAGTGTTGCTATTTGTCCGTGGATATATGTATATCCCTATAAAATACATAGCACTATCATGTGTGAGTTTAATTTCCCCCGGTAGGATTATGTTGCAGACAAATCTTCTGTTTCTCAGCATTAACTCAGTACTCTTCATACTGCTGTGTGTACATCCATTTCACTGCTTCTGACTGCAGCATAGAATTCCAAATTGTCTACAACATTTTACTTACCTGACCCTCTAGATAACTTCCAACTCCCTGCTATCACAACATAACTGAAAAACATACTTGTTTGGGTCCACTTATCATCTTATACAAGAATTTCTCTGAGATTGTGTCCAGGGTGGGATCGAGGCGGAAAGCAGATAACATAAAATTAATTCACTTCACCAAGTAATGCTAAGAACTCTCCAAAATGACTAGTCCCTTTGGTCTTCCCACCACGGTCCCTATTTCCACCACGTTATTACCAACCTTTGTTATTTTTTTTTAATTTTGCTAGTCTGATGACTATGAATAATATCTTTATTTTAATTTGTATTTCTCTGATTACTGATGAGTCTAAGTATCCCTGTATAGACTTACTAGCAATTCAATTAATTTTTTTTCCTTTCTATGAGTTTCTTGACTCACTTTTAAAAATTGGGTTTTGTTGTCTTTCTAGCATTGATTTGCACCAGTTCCTTGTATACTCTCTAGGTTTTAATTCTTTACTTAGACATTAGATGTCTTCTCTTAGTCTCTCACCCATTTGTTGACTTTTCTGTGGTGTTCTTTGTTGAACAGAAGGCCTTGATTTTAATTCAGAATTCATCAGTTTTTTACTTTATTGTTTGTGCCTTTTTTATTTTATTGTTTGTCCTTCCTTATCCCAAGATCACTAGGATGAATTCTACATTTTCTTCCATATTAGCTTTATAGTTTTACCCTTCACTTTTAGGTCTTTAATTCATTTGGATTCTACCTTTGTTTCAGGTGTTTTTCTCCAGGTAGCAAGCCAGTTTTCCTAATACCATTATCTAGTAACCCATTCTTGACTGATCCATCATATATCAATTGGTTTCATATATGTATAGCTTTCTCTCTGTCCCATAGGTTTTGTAATGTGTTTGTTTCCATTTGTCTCAGTTTTCTAATTTACCATGTGATTTTTTTCTTTGATCACTTGGTTGTTTAAAAGTGCATTGTTAATTTCCATAATTTTGTGAATTTTTCAGTTTTCCTTTTGTTGTAGATTTCTAACTTCATCCCATTGTGTTCAGAGAAGATACTTTGTAAGATAGCTATCTTTTTAAATCTACTGAGACTTTGATTTGTGGCCTAACATACAGTCTGTCCTGGAGCACTTGAGCAGAATGTGTACTCTGTTGTTGGGTAGCTAGTGTGTATATGTCTGTTATATCTAGTTAGTTTATTGTGTTAAGTGTTTGCTTAATTATCTTCAGTCTGATTGTTCTAGCCATTATCATGAATGGGGTATTAAAGTCTCCAACTATTATTGTAGAAC